CTCACGACGGCCGGATCCGAGTTGGCATAATCCGCCACGGTCACTGAAACAAGCAGCAACCCTCAAAGGAGGCGGCCTCCTGTCCACGGCCCCCTCCCGCCGCGTCCAGCCCCCTCCCGGCCGCCAGCCCAGCCTTTCGGCACCCGGGCCCCGCGCCCACCTCGACCGGAGCAGGCGTCGTGGGCCCGGAACTTGAGTCTCTTCCCTCGCTTGGGCATGGCGGCCGTGTCAGGGCGAGGCCGGCCTAGCGGGCCGGGACCCCGGGCCATGTCTCGGGCGTCAGAGCCGGCTCCGGCAGCCGCGGGACAGCTCCGCCCGGCCCCGCAGCCATCCCGCACCGCAGGCCGCGGCTCTCGCGAGGACTCAGGTAGGGCTCCGCGTCGCGTCGCCCGTGACGTCACTGCCGGGAACCAATCACCGCCTGGCCCAGGGGATGCGCAGTCCCCGGCGCCCGCGCGCCCGCTCGCGTCCGGTTGCGCCCCGGCGGCTGCCGCTTCGTGTCAGGGGGTTGGTGCCTCAGGTCCGGAGGCCCCACAGACCGAGCGCCTGCTAGTCCAACGTGGGTCTCTTGTCTTCAGATTTCTTATTCAAAAGGTATAAAACTGAATTCTCAAAATGAGGGGGGGTCTTAAAATCTTTTCGATCTACTACCATCTTTCAAACAAAAAGCACTAGAAAGATTGATGAGGGAAGAATATTGTCTTTCCTTTGTATTGAGACAGGAAAGTCACTTAATGAAGATCACAGAACTGTGAAGGACCCGAGTGGTATCACCAGTACGAATAAGGTATCTGCTGTCCCGAGTTATGTACTTTGTCCCTCTAACTCTTGCAGCTCTCAAACCGTCTTGAGAAGCACAGTATTTAGGAACCAGGTATCCAACCTGCTGGATCCACCTTAGGATGCCTCTCTAAGGTGTTTAGGACACTCCCTTTTAAAATCTAATTACCTAGTAAGCAGACTTTCCTTAGGAGTAAACCACGGGCCTTAAACTAACATTGCAAAACAGACTGTTACCAGAGGTCATGCTGATAGGCTTGAATCAATTAAAAATTATAATCGAAACAATATAATTGACAATACTGAACTATTCTAAAAGTCATAACAAAACAAGGTTCTCACAGACTGTTAAAATTGTTTCAAATAATTTTTCCACGTATACATAATTCATGTTGTAGTCCAGTTCAAAATGCAGCCAGTAAGTGCTGAGCCTTCTCATTTCAGTTATCAATAAAAAATTCATAAGGCCCAATGCTTGTACCTTTCTGCTCTGGTGGCACCCTGTTGAAAGCACTCAGGCATCAGGACTGGAGGAAGCCAAAGGTGCAAGACAGATCTTATTAACATACCATCACTATCACAAAGGTTAAAACTGAAAATGTCTTCTCATTTTCAACAGTATAACTACTATTTTAATATACTGGATTGAAGGAAATGATAATTCCATAATTATGTTTCATGTTTCAAAATTTCAAGAATGAGATCTTAAGCAAGGCCCCTCAGACTCTTAAAGTCCTTTGGCCAATTTAGTGGAACAATTCACCCATAGATCTTTTATCCCACCTTTTATTAAAAAGCAACGATTTTTAATTAATGGCACTTTAGCTTCCAGACCCAAAGATACAGGTTCTTTCTAGAGAGAAAAATTGTAAAAGTTACTAAAAGAGCTTTTATATTTAAATGCAAGTGGCATCTAGTTCTTAACCTAGCTATTAGGAAGAGGGTGGAAAGACAATGTTCTAAAAGCTTTGTCCTCAACAAAGTGGCAAATTTAAGGACAATACATAAGTGCACATAGCATTAGGATGCTATCTTTCTAGATTACATCCATCGTACTTTTATGATACTATATTATATCGGCCTTTATTTTGTGCTAATAGTAAATGACAGTGGTAGTGTTTCTTTTTTAAGGTCTTTTGTCAAAACTTCAGGGTGGCAAAAATATGTTTGCCAGAAGTCTTTTAAATTGAAATAGCCTGTGAAATCCGAACGCCTAGGAACCATTGCTTTGGAGGCATTGGAAAGTATTCCTTCTGATTTGAAAAAATATATATAATAGTAGGATTTCCTATAGTGTAGTGTAACAAAATAATATAGAAAAGTTTTTTTAAAAAGTATGGATTCTGCAGCCAGACTTACCTGCGTTCGAAAAGTCTCTGCCATTTATTATGTACTTAACTTTGGAAAACTTAATCTCCTTGGACCTCAGTTTCCTTGTCTATGAATTACAGATAGTAATAACCCATTTCAGAGTTATTGAAATAATTCATTAATTCATGAAAAGTACCTAAAAACACATAGTAATCACTCAATAAATGTCAGCTATTTTGTGGTGGTGACAGTTAAAATTGTGATGGTGGTGGTTGTTACTTAAACTGCACAGGCCTAAGACTTCTTGCAGGCACTCCACACACAGCAAGAGAGCCCACAGTCCCGACTCCAGGGCCCACAGCCCTTTGGAAAGCCAAGGCAGGGACAGCGGTTAACTGAGCTCTGAGACTCGGGCCCCTGATGACTAGATCCTGGGGCTTGCCCGGCCTGTCTTCATCAGGGGACGTGCCCTCAGCTATCTGCAGAGGAGCTAGCTGAAGCTCAGGCTGATGCTTATCCTGTCCCTGGCCAGAGGGGAGGAGGAGGGTATTGCAGCAGCTGGGCAGGGGCCAACCATCTCTGAAAGCGAGGCCTATCTGGGGACCTTCAGGGACAAGCAGAAACATGCCTTTACCCCGACACACCACCTCCAAGTCCCTTTCTGGAGCCCCTGCCCAGGCAAAGAGTGAGTTCGTGGGAGGGGTGTTCGGACTGGGAGGTCAGACGAGGTATTCCCACCAGAAAATGAAGGGGGTAGGGAGGGAGCATGGGCCGGCATCTCGTGACAAAAGCAGGGTGCTCGGTGGGAGGGCTGTGCTGTGGAACTTGGTGCAGTTCACGCTCCTGGGTGCAGGTCCTTCCCACCTGCTGCCCCCTGAATGACTAACAAGACGAGAGGTCCACGGAGGCCCGTTAAGGAGCCATCCCATCGTGAAGATCATTCATGGCAGGACCGCAGAGAGGGGAGGAAGGACAGGAGGGGACCCGGAGGAGGCCGAGCGCAGAAGGACAAGGACTTGCTGGGCACTGGACTGCCGGAGCCCTTGGGCAGACTCGAACCCAGGCCCAGCTGACCCATGGCAGCGGAGATAACTCTGGTCAAAGCCAGGTCAATTTGCCACGCCAGCAACTTCCCCGCCAGAGAGAGCCTCATCCTTCATAAAGACCCCCAACAGCCTTTCACAGGACAGATGGAGTAAGCCACTCCATAGCCCCTGACTAGAGTAACCTCTTACCCAGAACATACTCTCCAAGAGAAAGGAAATGTGAATTTGTCACGGGCACTGGCATAGTGGCAGGGCAGAGAGGAGAGGCTCTCCACATGTAAAGCAGACTGTCCCAGGCAAGCAGAGGTGTATGCGCCTCCTAATTCTGATTTTGGTAGGCTAAGACAGATGAGAGTCTGGTGAAGGGAAGACACAAGACAATCCTTTTGGCTTCTGAAGGCCAGTAAGAGGGAGGGAGTCACCATGAACTGGTTCTTACCTACACCCAAAAGTAACATCCTGAAGTCCTTCCGTGAAGGCGTTATTGCCCTATCTGGAGTGGCAACAGTCTTGACAGTAGGAGGAATGGACTTGATCATGAAGGAGGAATGGACTTTGGCTCAAGTCCATATATCTATCTTAGTCTGTTCGGGTTGCTATAATTCCACAAACTGGAAGCTTATCAACGACTTTATTTCTCACTGTTCTGACGGCTAGGAAGTCCAAAACCAAGGTGTTGGCAGAATCAGTGTGTGGTAAGGCCCACTTCCTGGTTCACAGAGGGCTAGGGTTTTTTGTTTTGTTTTGTTTTGTTTGCTGTGTCCTCACCTGGCAGAACTCAGTGAGGGAGCTCTCACTTCATTAATAAGGCACAAATCCCACTCATGAGGGCTTCTGCCCTCAAGGCCTAATCATTTCCCTAAAGCTACAGTGCCATGTCCAGCAAGTGGTAAATCCTGCCATGTCCAGCGCGGCTCTGGAGAATGTACCTGAGTGGGAACGGTGGGAGATGAAGAAAAGAAAGAAGACAGAAAGCTGGGATCAGGAGGTCACTGTCCACTGAAGGGCGAGTAATGGCACAGTTTTATCTTTGCAAGCTGCTTTTATACAAGAGCATACAGTTGCTGGCTAGGATCAGATCATCCTCTGCACAATCACCCAACCCGCATCTGCTACCATTCCTTCTCGCCACTATGTACTGCGTACTCCCTGCCTCGGGGCAACACCGCATTGTTCCCCCGAGTGCTTCCCCATTCTTAGGAGGGAGGCCGGAGGCCAGGTAACCCTTGGTTGACCTCACAGGTTGCAAGGACTTGTCGGCTTACAGCCCGCTCTCCACATTACACCTCCAAACACCATCACTTCGAGGGTTAGGATTTAACATACGAATCTGTGAGGACACATGCAGACCACAGAATGACCCAAACCTCCAGTGTGCCAAGGCTGCGACCTCGCTGGAGCAGTTTGCTTAGCCATGCTCATTTGCTCATGTATCGTCTATGGATGCTTATACGAAGCAAGGGCCAAGGCAGTATATCTTATTTCCCAGTCTAAAATGTTTGTTGTCTGGTCAACCCCCAATGTGAAGAAATAACTCTCATCACGGCTAGTGGTAATGCAAACAGACACAATCGCTTTGGAAAGCTGGCAGTGCCTACCAGAGTCCAATACCTGTAAGTATTCTGCTGGAGCAGTTCCATTCCTGGGTATATACACAACAGAAATACAAACACGTGTGCACCAAGACATGTTTACTAGTGTATAGGGGAGCATTATTTGTAATAGCCACAAAGTAGAAACAATGCAAATGGAGATCGTTAGCAGATTGGGTAAATATATTTGGTCTAGTCATACAACGGAACTCTAATCAGTGATGAAAATAAACTATTGCTATCACGACAGCATGGAAGAATCTCACAAACGTAACGCAAAAGAAAGCAATAAAAAAAAATACGTGCTGTATGACCCCATTTATATAAATTCCTGAAAGAAGTATGGGTTGTGGTTACCTCTGAGACATGGTGAATGGGAGTGCTTATAGAGGCTTCTGTTCGTGGCTAAGCCGGTCCAAGTGCAGAGACAGGCTGGAGAGACAGGGCCGCAGCTGCGCTTCGATAAATTTCCAGACTCCTGGCCCTCGGTCTGCCTGCACCACGAGGGAAGGAGCCTGGTGCCGGGATCTGGTGATCAGACCCTCACCCTCAGGGTCAATATGCTGTCCACGGCCACTTCCGCCCTCGCTAGCCTTTTCCGACCCCCTGGGTCTTAAAAGTACCCGCCTTTTCCGGGCCCGCCACTCCGTCCTCTTTGGTCGCCTGTCAGGCCCGGCCTTTCTTCCCCGCCCCTTCCAATCCCCTGTTTTCGTCAGGCCCGCCATTCCGGACCCACCCCTTCCGGTCCGCCCCATTAGGCCCCGCCCGACTGGTCCCTGGCCTTCCGATCGCCGCAATTTCCGCGTCCGCCCTTTCCGGGTCGCACTTGTCAGGTCCCACCCCTTCCTGGACCGCCGCTCCGACCCCGGCTCCTACCAGGCCCTGCCCCTTCCTGCACCTCAGCACGGGCCCGGCCCCGTCCTTTCCACCTCCTTGCCTCTTTCGACCCGCCCCTTCCGGCTCGCAGTTATAGGGTCCCACCCTTTCCTGACCCGGCCCTTCCGGCCCCTAGCTCTTTCTTGGCCCCGCCCCTCGCAAGCCCGCCCCCAGCCAGGCCCCGCCCG